AAGACATATCGAACATGAAGTAAATAAAAATTCAAAACCCTAGCCATTCCATCTAATCAGGCTGCATCCCTTCCTGACATGGAGGCGTGTATGTGGGCGACATGCCAGTACACACGTGCCTTCATGACTTGCTGTGAGCATATCTAGGGACATCAGAAACACTGGGGATGAGGGACTACCGATGGACCAAGCAATAAACACACACACCATTTCTTATTTGTAATTCAATACTTTTTTCCTTTAATTCATACTGGACTTTCATGGCTCTAGCTACTTTACATTAAGATTTGGCTGGGTAGCCTTGTTTCTAGGTACTAGCAGTATTTTCAGACCTTGCGCACAGCGCCAGGCAAAGTACAGTTATAGATCCAAATACAGACGGCCAGACAACTCAACTGCAACCAACCTGTGTTCTTTCCCACTTGTGGCCCAGTGCAGGTGTTGGGTGCTGCTCCCTCTGCCTCACCCTACTCCTCCCCATTTTCAGGATTATCCATGGGCCACTATGGCCTCTGATCCATCCCTCCCCACCTCAGAGTCTAGGTTGAGTGAGGGGGGGAAAAAAAGCACCATGGGTTTGGGAAGATGGTCTGGTCCATGCAGAGAGTGGTCTGGCCCTAGAGTGCAAGGGAAGGAGATGTGGGGTGCCACACATTCTTGTTGGCAAAAGTGACTGTTTTACTGTGCAGTCTATGCACACAACACAGAAGCCCAGGGCCAACTCCCCAGACAGCCTGATGTCCTGCCTGGAGCAAGGGCCGCCATTTCCATTTTGCTTCTGAGGTGTCTTATTGAATTGAGAGAGAAGCAAGGAGGACCAAAGGGCAGAGATGACAATGTCCATTAAGCATTCACATGCTGGGGAGATCGTCTGGCATTCGGCAAATCTTGGCAGGTAAGTGCTTCTCACCAGCAGCCAAAGCTCCAATCCGGGCTCCCAGGCCTGCTGAGGACCTCCAAGTCACAAGAACCCTGAGCTGTTGCACGGCACATCAGAACAGGGAGCTGGCTGAGCCCATCGCAATGGCTGGAGCAGGAGTGAGGTAACGAGGCTGGGCAGAGAGGTGGGAGAGGGAGCTCTCTACACCAGGTACAAATTCCTGACTCACATCAGGAATGCAGGGATGTTGAAAGATGGCCTTCCAGAAAACACTCCTCTGAGACCCAAATGCATCTTCTGGAAGAGGACTTAGAGATGGAAGGGAGTGGGGCCAGCCTGCTGGAGTGGGGTGGGAGTGGAGGGGCGAGGGTTGAGAATGGCAAAGGGAAAATGGGAATGATTGCCCCATGGCTTAGAGACAGGGCTGGGGTTGGGGGAAGGGAGAGAGTCCTGGAGAGGGCAGGCAGAGTCCAGGCATGTAGGAAGGGCCACCATAGCCCTGCCACCTGGGGGAAGAGAGAAGAGTGCTATTTCTCCCCAAGCCCTAGTGAGAGGGGCTGGCTTTGGCTGCCCTGCAGAGCCAAGGAAGCAGGATGGTATGGCACAGAAAGGACCCTTCCAGGAGCAAATAGTCCAGAAAGAGTCTTCCCCTAGCCAGTCCTTTCCCCAACACCTCATCTTACAGATGCTGTCTGTCATAGTAGTCCAGTCCCGGCATAGGTGAGAGGCTATGGACAAGTAGAGAATCCACTTGTGGTAAATTCCTCTTGAGGTTCCCTGGTGCTCCCCACTCCTTGATGCCAATGTCCTAAGGCAAACCAAGGATTTCAGCAAAAGTTTCCCAATGTATCCAAACCACAACAGGGTTTTGGCTGAGCAAAGCAGAAGTTCTAGAACTGGGAATGGCTTCTTCCCATTGTGTCCTCCATCAGTGAGGAAGGAGTATGGACAGTACAAAGGATTCACAGTGCCTGGAGGTGGAAGATGGCCTCAGTGCAAAATGCTACTCTTCTTGTCGTTATCTGCTAAGTGTAAACCACACCAAAACTAGGCCACAGAGGAAGGACCTGTCTCCTGGCTTAATGCTGAGCAAGGCTATCCCTGCCACTAGGGCACCTTAGACCTCCTGGCCAAGAACATGTCCCTGGCAGGACATCTTCGAAAACTGGAAACTCAGCATCTCCCTAGCCTCTTGCCTAATCTCTGAGTCAAGGCCAAACCTAGAACCCACATGAGAGGTCACTTACTGACCCTCTCCTGTTACAAATGGATCCTGAAGCTCAGTGACGGGGACTTAACCAAGGCCACACAACTTTTCAACAGCACAGTCAGGACTCAAGCCCAGATCTCTCCACTCTTACTCCAGTGAATGCACTCAACTGTTTTGATATCCAAATCCTTAAAGAAAGATCAATATATATCTACAATAAATAAATAGGTGAAACCTGCCAGCTGGAAGATGTCACCCAAAGCATGCCAGCTTCCATAGCCTCCTGCAGACTGTTGCTACTTGCCAGGCTATTGTCCAGGGCACTTGTTTTGGTTGCAAGGGTGAGTTCTCTTCTCTTTCACAAGGTAGTGAAAAAGGGTGGGGAGGGGATTTTGTTTGGGAACAGACTAAGTTGTTGGTTCCTTCCTGGTTTAAAAGACCAAGTTAATGTTAAGACAAAAGCAACTCAGAGGAAAGCCATGATTCCTGGGTGCTGTTCCTCTCTGTGTATACTATCTGGGCCATCGGAAAGCAGGAGGCTCGCTCCCTAGAACAAATGAGGTGTTCTCCTCCCCTAAATGATACCGCAGGCCAAAGAAAAGCAGCTCTCTGTGGTCAGGGCTACTTCTGTTACTTTACTCACCCCCAGTGAATACCTCTGAAATCATCCAAAAGGATCCACTACTACTTTAACAGTTCAATTGAAGCAAATAACTACATTTGCAATAAATTTGAGAATTTCCAACTTTGCTTTCAGAGTTTCTGGGAATACCTTTGGCTTTTGGCTACTCCAAGGGGAAACTGACTAGCATTTCAAATGGTGCTATTTGCCCTTCTTTGTCTCAGATCTTGACTGCCACCAGCAAATCCTCAAAAACCCCCAAAACCAAGAGACAACAAACTGGTCTTTGGGCCTTGGCCACTGTAGAGGAAAAATGAATCCATTTCCTCACCCCTGCTGTCCCAGAAGAATGCTAATCAGGGTAGCTAAGCACTGAGCCTTCTCCCTTCATCAGAGGATGATCCAAGGATATATCCTATTTGCTGATTCTGTCCTTCAGGAAACACCAATTGTTTCTGAACATAAATTGTTCAGAGGTTAGGGTTATGTTTCAGAACATAAATTGTTCTGTCTCCAGGACACTGCGACATCAATGCCTTCCTTTCGCTGCCTAAATGGAATGTCCGGACAATTCTGAGAGGAGAAAGTAACTTTCTCTTTGATGCAGATAGCCAGCACCATCTTGCTCTCTTCACAGGGATACTCTAGGAAGTCTGCAGTTCCTTCTTCCTCTCAACTTGAAAAGTCCAGGAGAAAAGGCCAGCTTAGAGAAGCTTTTGTGCCAACCTGGCAGCAACTCTTTACTACTGTGGATCTCCATGAGCTCTGCCTGGGGCTGGCAGGATTCCTTGAGTCATCAGATGGAAGAGCAGGAGATACTGTAAGGGAGGATGATGAATCTGCCCAGAAGGGCCCCTTGAGATCATATAAAAGCCTGAGTCCTGATGGGCTAACATTAAGAAGGCCCTGGCTAGTTCAAGTTCCTAATGTAGCATCTTCCTTTTATTTCTTGGTGACTTAGTACCTCACTGGGGCTTTATTTCTTGGTGACTTAGTACCTCACTGGGGCCAGAGACTAAAGAGAGATTTACACACACACACACACACACACACACACACACACACACACACACACACACACCTGTCAGAACTCCCACTCCCAAACCTGAGAAACATAGAACTGAGGTGGCCTCTTCCTGACCAAGCATATGCATCTGTGACAAATCCTCCCTCCAGCGGCTCATACATTTTCCCACACAGTGGCACACAACTGCCTCTATTGCTAACCCTGGTTCTTTACCAAGAGTTAAGAGGATGCTGTTAGCCCTCTGAGAGAGGCTTGGCTACTGTGCTCACTACTCATACAGGATTCTTGGGCAAGCCCTGCAATCCATGTTTCTAAATTGTTCTGTCTCCTAAAGCCTGGAGGGACTAGGATACCCTGACTTACCCTGGACATCAAACTCACACCTCAAAGGGAAAGAATTAGAGCCACAGACCTAACTGGTTTATAACCACTAAAAGAGGTTTTTTGTTTTTTTGTTTTTTGTTTTTTAACAAGGTCAAAAAGGCTCCACCCTGGCTAAGAAACAATGTGCTCTTAGGGCACAGAGAAACAATAGGACTTTAGGCACTAAAAAGTGACACTTCCCCCAGATCCAGCCTGGGAGAAGACCAGAGAGAAAGGAGGTGGGAGAGTTAGAGATTCCCAGCCCTTGTGGGGTCCACAACCTACTCAGGTCAGAAGGTGTGGGGGTGGCTGAGGAGAATTCCCTTCAGATGCCAGAGCTCAGGAGCTGCAGCCCCACAGCCCTGGCCCACAGACGCAGCCTCTGTCACAGTCCTCGCCACCTGGCTTTCAGTGTGGTCCTAACCAATGGTCTCCTGGGGAACATTGAATGGGGCTCCTGCCTTCTCCATTCTTCCTGTTCCCAAGAGAAGGCCTGGGGAAGCACTGGGTGGGGGAAGAACAGGTTCTCTTTTATTCTAGAGACAAATCAAAAGAGGGTTAGGGAATGAAGCACCGTAAGCAATACCTTCTTAAACGTCTTTTAAGACCCAAGGGTCTTCATGGGCATTAACTTTGGCTCAGCCACATTTCCCTTCTAAGGGTCAAGAATGGCCAGCAAGGGAAGGGATGAGGAACAGAAGATGGGAAGAGGAGGATCAGGGGAGGTCGGTGCTGAGAGGTGGTTCCTGCCCTCCTCAGTCCCTCCACAGTGGAGGGAAAAATGCTGCTCTGGCCGGCACAGGGGGCGGGAGTTCCCGCTCCTTCTCCCTGGTACATAGGCATTATCTCTTTTTTTAAAATCTGTATATAATATATATTTATATTCTGTATATATATATATATATATATATTTATATATATTTATAGGGTCTATGTACATGTATTGCACAGGCCTCTGGCAGCCACCCCTGGTCCTGCCTTGTCAATGATAGCGGTTCCTCTTCTCGTCACTTTCGGTCGTGTAGTCTCGGGACCTGATGCCATTCTGAAGATTGATGAGTGAGTCCTTCATCTGTAAGACAGTGCTCCCAGTAAGTCGCCACAAAGCAGCAGCTGTCACACCCATCTGTGTCCCACCCCTCACCATGGCACGGAGCCAACAGAAACCAAGTCCAAAGCAAGGGTGGCTCCCAGGAGTCTCAGCCTGAGGCAGAAAAGGGTCAGCCAGTTCAGCACTGGAAATTCCTTGGGCTTGGTTATTTGTGACTTTTACATCAAGGAGTCACAAGTATCCAGTCGCTCTAAGGGAGTCACCTTAAACTACCACTTTCTTGACCTTCAACTCTGATCCTGAATATACTTCTGTCCTATCTTTCTCCTGGCCTGGAATGCTTTCCAATTTCTCTGCTCCAGTTTCACCCAGCTGGAAAAGACCAGAAGCAGCACAAACTTTCTATGGTCACAGCCATCATTTGCCTCCTGGCCTGTCAGACACACAGAGTCTCTTGGCTGCCTCCTCAGGAGCTGCTTCACCTCCTGTTTCTTAGAACTAAAACTATCCTGCCCTTCACAGACATACACAGCCGTGTCAAGCAGAGAGGAGGCAGGTGCCTGATCAGCTCCATAGCAGGAAATTAATATTCTGGGGTCATGGAATGAGTTTCAAAAGGGGCAGCTCAGGTTGGAGAGTCTTCAAATAGTCCATTACATAGCAGCTTCTTTAAATACTGAGTAAGCTATTCTGTTATAATGACAAGATGATATTCCATCTTGATGCACTGAGAACTAACTCCTGGCTTCTCCGCATCATCTACTGCTTTGATTTCTCCAGTTCTAAATCAACTCATTGGATGGAAAAGAGGCCAATTTCTGTTCTGTGCAAGAGGAGTGGACATGTGGAGTTCAGACGACAATTGCAGGAGTCTCTCCTTCTACCTAGAGATAAAACTCAGGTTGCCAGGTTTGGTGGCAAGCACCTTTAAACAGCTGAACCATCTCACTGGCCCCTCAAAGAAATCTGGTACACATGTCCTCTAGGAAGACAAATTACTACACAGGATTTCTCTATAAGAAAAGTCTGTCCTACATCCCGCTGGCTATTAATCTATCTCTTGTTATTGTTGCTTGTGTTTCTAATGCTTCACTGAGGAAAAGCTTTACAAGGAAATGAAGGGATGGGCCAGAATAGTAGTAAAGAGGAAGCGGACATCAGAATGGTGGAGAGGGAACATGGTGACATCTCTCGGTACGGAAGGAGTCTACTCTCCTGACAACGAAGGACTACGAACATCTCACCTGGTCGAGGAGCATCACTGAGGATTTGATGATCTCCCTCCACTTCTGGAGCTCAGTATCGTGGTACTTTTGTTGGGATTCTAATAGCTGGGCCCATTCTGTCTGAGACTGGGGTAACCTGTGGGGTAGAATAAGGAGTACCCAACAGCTGGAGTTACACTTGGTGGGCTGGTCTGTGCTCCCAAAGGACAGAAAGCCACACCAGAGTGCTTTCTCTTCTGCTCAGTGCCCCAGGGTCCCCACTGCCCTGAAACTTAGGCGGAAACTCCACGAAGAGATTTCTAGAACCGGACTATAGATGCATATCAAAGGGGTGCCCCCTGAGCACAGGCAATGGGACAGTCCCAGACCACTGGGTGGGGTTAAGGTGGGGACAGAGAGGTGAGGCCAATATTACCTTTCCTGTAGCCTAAGGCCCTGCCAGGCAGTCAGGGTCTGTGTGGTGTACTCCAGCATCCACAGCTTGTAAAAGAGCATCATGTTAAGGATGACCAGCAGCACCAGACTGGGGGGGGAGACACAGGGAAAAGTAAGGGCCGTGAGATGGAATCTGGGCCAGGGATCTCCCCACCTACCCATGAGTCCATGAGCCTGCTTGCTGGACCAACCCAAGCATTACAGAGGGGTGAGGCAGTTGAAGGGGCATAGCAATGGTCGGAGAAAAAGAAGCATCCTAGTCTACCGGGTCAGTGACAGAGCACGAGAGCCATGGAGAGAGGTATAAGCACAGGTATTGAAGGCACTGGAAGGGAAGGCACAGACACCTGCGTCTGGGTGCCTGGGGGAAAATGGCATAGATGGAAGGGAAAGGCCATGAGGTAAAGGGAACAATCATAGAGCTTGGTACCTGAAACAGATCCTAATGGGAGCAAGGGAGAAAAATGAGGGGGAGGCAGAGGTTAGAAACAGGAGTGTGGGGAAGGAGGAGATGCACTTCAATGGAGCCAGAGAGCAAGTGAACATCTATGAGAGAAAAAAAAAACAAAAAACAAAAAACAAAAAAACATGAGAAGCAAAGATGCAATGGACAAGGCAGACAGGCAAGGAAGGATGGAGGGAAAGCAGCTGCAGACTTAATTTTCCAGGGGCGCTAAATCAAGAGATTCTTCCACCCACCCAAAGTCATGCCGTATTTGAAGGGCAGGACTGAAGGTGTAACTGCTATGCCTTATGGGTGGGTACTGGTGCCTCCCTGAGGCTACAGTGTCTTCTCCCTTTATTTACCAACTGTCTGGCAGGGACCAGAAGAAAAAGGGAGCAAGGATGAGAAGGGTGGGAGATGGGAGGATACCAGGGAGGAGGCTGGGAAATTACCGTCTCTCCACCTCAGTGGCTGCCTAGGCCACTAGGCACTGTGACAGAAGCTCACGGGATAGAGCAAAAGGAAGGGATGCAGAGAAGACCGAGACAGGCAGAATTGGGAATAAATCTTAGTGTATCACCTACAAATCATTTTGAACTTCCATACATGTTCCCCATCTAGCCTGAAATGGTTTTCTCATGAGGGGCATGGATGCTCTATGGATGGAAAGGACCATAAGCTTTAGCAGTAGGCCCACCTTAAGGGCTAGTTCTTAATACGAAAGGATTTGGCAAGGACAGGTACACACACAGGAAGAGAGAAGATAGACAAATTGGGAAGGCAAGTGTAAAAGGGGCCAACACAGGAAAGAAATCATATGAGATTTAGACTGTGCCTTAGAACACAAAGCCTGTGTGTCAAAGTAATGTCCGGCGTCTAATTTGTTTCCCCAACACTATGGATGGAAGTGTCCCTTCTCTGTCAGCTACAGGTCCCTGGGGCTAGCCTAAATTCTCCATGAGAACACTCAGCTTTTGTGTTGCGTGTCAACACTGTCATCTAACTGTGTCACCACACTCTGAATCATCTGAATGCCCACCTCCTCAGTGTGTGCCACATACCATCTCACATTTGGGTTTGTGTACATAATCCCCCGGTGTTTTAAGGGAAGGTCATGTGCTGTCTGAGGGAAGACTCCCCAGTGTGCCAACCAGAGACAAAGAGGTGGGAGGTTGAGTCACCACACTGAGGGTGGATGATGGCAAGAGCCTGCCAGACACGGGTAAGCCATGCTGTGTCGGTGTGTCCTAAATGCAGGCTATTAGAACCCCAGCTTGGAGAGCATTGTGTTGAGTCAGAAGGCCCGACTATCATAAATTTACCAAGGCACAGAGTTAGCTGATGCCTATGGGATTGGCCCACGTGAGTGGGCCTCCTCTGTGTAAGTAAAACTGAAATGCAGAGAAAGTATAAATATGACTAAGCAAAGTTATAGACTCTTACTGATCAGTATCCAATACCTGGCATGGTTTTAACAGTGACATGAGTCACATTACATTGGTGTTTGAAGGGTGAGCTTTATGGTTGTCTCTTTCCTTACTGTGGTCATATCTTATGCTATCATTGGAAGAACTTACATATATTTTCAAGCTATGCCGTCAGGAGTAGCACGAACCCTTCTTAGATTCTTCACAGGCTTTTCTCCTATAAGGAGTCACAGGGTAGTCCCTGGCCCCACTTCTGTCACATTCTGTACTCATGGTCTCATTTAAACCCATAGCTTTACTCTGTCTTCTAAGGGCCAAGCCCACATCAGCAAAGGTCTGTCCTCCTCAACTACACAACCCATTGCAACCCATACATTTTGGGGTTGGTCTCTGGCATGTCTTCTCTGACGACTTTCCATTAAACTCCAGATTTCTGTGGACATAAGCACCTGTAGCCCTTGTAGGCAGCTGGTCTTCCTTTGAGACGTAACTGAAGGGTTACTGAGCTCTTCCATCTGTGACCTCTCCTACCCACTCAGCCCCATCAGTTTGGTAGCACCCACACAGCTTCCAGTCTTTGTCAATCCAGTCATGTTATCACCACAGTGCTGGACTGATGGTGCCACTTGTGAGCTTCCTCCAGAGTGTCCTGAGAGGAAGGATGTCTCCTCACATCCCTCTGAGGATGCTTCAGGGAGAAGTACAGAAGGGTCACAGGGCAAAACTGACCGAGAGGTGGTATGGTGCCTGGTGGACAGAAGGTAGAGCACACATGTGGGCATTTAACCTGCCTCTCATCCACCTGTGCCATCCACACTTAATGGCTCATCCCCAATCCAAAGGAATGGCATGCCAGGCTGCAGGCTGAGCCAAGCAGAAAGGCTGTCCTTAGCTGCTCCAAATGCCTTTCGTTCAAATGGTTTAGCAAGTCCTGAGCATTGATGACAAAGAGGACTCATACACCAGACAGCTGTGTTCTCCTATCTCATGCCTTCATTTCTTTTGGCTTCTCATTGCCTAGCTCAACTTACTGTGCAAGCCATCGACCCTATGGTTTTATAATGTGGTGCTAATTATAAGTCATCTACATTGAAATAAGCATCTGCTCTCCCTGGACTGGAACCATTGATTTTGTCTGGCTACCCTGCTAGTGAGGACTCTGTGTAAGGCTCTCATGCTGGGCACAGAGCAGACACTCAAGAGGACCTCTTATAAATTAATGGACTCTTAAAATGTCCTGAAGCACCCCTGTGTCAGTCAGCATTGATCTTGAGGAGGGATTCTGAGCATTCTGCCTTTCTCACCCACCGCATGCACCATTTTCCCCCTAGAAGGCTAACACTCGAGAAGTGCTGAGAAGGCGCAAAGAAACAGAAAAGGTAACAAACAACTGAGCAACTGATCCAGTGAGGACTAGAAGACAAAGGAACAAAGAGAAGAGAGGGGTAAAAGTAAGGGGGAGCGTATGCTTGAGAGATGAGGATGACTCTCCTGCCTGCACCGGGCAGGAGAAGGAAGATGGCAGAGCCAGGGAGGAAGAAGAACCTGGAGTCTCTTACACACAGCTGATAACCAGCAGCAGCTTGGACACACTCTGTAGGTGAAAACCGCTGGGAGTGTCCTCGGGGATATGCCGCGTCTGCGTGGAACCTGTGGGAGAAGAAATAGGCCATCATTATCTTCACAGTCCACACATAGTTCACACACTGCTGACAGGGTGCCAGGGAACTGTGCATCATGCTTCCAGTGACCTTGGGCTCACATCTCGAGCGCTACAACATGCAAAGTCAAGGCTTGGGTCAGATAATTACTGAACAAATGAGAAAATGTAGCTATGTAACTAGGATACAGAGCTGTGACTGGCTGAGGAAGACAGGCTACAGGCAGCAGGTTCCTGGCCATGGCTTTATAATCAGCTACATGATGTCAGGGCAAGACATGTAACTTCTTTCAATCGGTCTACTTAGATGTGACATCAACCATATATCTAAAACACGTAACAAGGGAGTGCTCTGGTTGAGGCTGGAATGGGGAATGCATGGGAAATAGTGGTCCTCTCCAGTCCCCACACAGCTCTGATAGACTCCCAAGCATGTACAAAGCATGGTGTGTAAAACACTGGAATCATGGTCTCTAGTCCCTTGGAGAGCTCCAGTTTTCCACGACAGAGAATATACATGAGGACTAAAAGGATGGATGATGAGAGGAAGAAATGTAAGAGGAGTCCACAGCCCAGACAGGCAGACAGGCAGGCACTTGGTGGGTATGTGAGGGACAAGTGACATATTCTACTCGTGGGTGTGCACATATGTCATGACAGAGGCATGCAGCATCATCCCAAAGTCCCAATCTACGCAACCATTCCCACCTGGAACAAACATACCTGCCACGTGCTTGATCCTGTGGCCCACATCTTCATCAGTGGGTGTGGTGACAGGGCTCATCACCTCTTCCAGGTGAGGTACCCGCAGGTGGGCATGGGGACGCTTCCTCCTCCGGACTGCTGAAGACTTATTGGCCTTCTCCTTGGGTGACTGTCTGTGCATTTCAGCCAGGTAGGTACTCTCTGTTTTGGTTAGCTCAGACTCTGTCAGACACAAAAGGTCCACACTTGAATCCAACAGATGTCCACCAGAAGCAGCTCTCTAGTAGTACCACATTCATATGGCCAGACCCTGGGAAGCTGGCCCAGTGGGAAGATGACCCTTAGAGATGCCCATGCCAAGGACTTTGGAGGCCAATCTTGCTTAGAGGACCATGTTCCAACTTTGCACCTCCAAGAACATATCACACATTTCCTAAATAGATGCCCTCAGATCTTTCTTTTTTGGTGGGGGGGCAGGGTCTAGAGAGAGGGTTTATCTGTAGCTTTGGAGGCTGTCCTGGAACTAGTTCTTGTAGACCAGGCTGGTCTCGAACTCACAGAGATCCTCCTGCCTCTGCCTCCCAAATGCTGGGATTTAAGGCATGCACCACCACAGATCTTTCTTATAATAAGCTGACTCAATGCCAGTGTTGCTACATCTGAGGGTAGGCAAAATCACAGCCCCTCTCCTTAATGATCTCAAAGCTACAGACACAGTCTCTTGGAAGATCCCATTCCCAGACATACCAAACTTGCTGCTCATTTCAAGGGTAGAATTAGGGACCCTATTAAACCAATTTATGGTCTCAGAGCCTACCCCCGACCCCCCCCAACCCCGTGTTCTCCAGGTTTCCCATTCGGCTGAATGGCAGGCAGCACCTGCACAGGCCAGCAGGGGAAGGTCCAGGCTAGATGACATGAGGACTGTGGCACCCACCTAAATGGCGAAAGTAGTCCTCCAATCCACTCCAGAAGTTCTTCTCAATGAAAGTTTTTACAAACCCCCAGGGCTGTTTTCGATAGCGGAGCTCTGTGGAGACCCTGAGGAGCAGGCCAGTAGAAACGAGATCAGCCATTCATATTGGGAAAACAGGTTTCGAAGCATACAAGGTCAGAGGTTAGCAGTATGTTGCTATGCTGCGGCTGCCTGGAGTGTATGTGTGTGTAGGGAGTTGCGGGGAGGGGGGTAACATATGCTCGGTAGCCTCCCAGCCAATGAAGAGAAAGTTTAGAAATGAAAGTCAAGACCTTTTTAAATCCATGTAGGGATTCTCTAGTGCCTCATCATTTGCAACTTTGAGTGTCTTCTCACTGGCCTGCCTCACTAAGCCCTTCTTCTTAGTGCTCTCTCTCTCCCAACCACTGCCCATTGCTCTAGCAGTAGCATTGCACTCTACCCTCCCACGAGAAAGCCTTGCTTTCTGCTTCTTCCTTAGGTGTATGAACATCTGTCAGTAGATCTTCCCCAACATAACCCCTACACACACCAGGGCTGTTTGTCCTGATGTTCTGCCTCACCAGGGTGCTACATTTCTCTGGGACCCAGCAGGAACATGGTCATGTGTGGAGTCTTTTTACATTCCCACCTAACATCTGTTTTCCGCATGGAGTCTAGGCTAGCTCCTCCAGTGAATGTCAAGCTGCCATCAATCATGATGATTTTCAAATGTGTGTGTGCTGATTTTATAATTAGACTGCACATTTGTTCCAGTGTCACAGATTGTATTTCTCCCTTCCTCAGAGCGGGCATCACTGTATCCAGAGCTAATTTCCTCTGACTGTGATATGAGTGGGCTGAGTTCAGAGAGCCGGTTGTGTTAGGTCAGGATTAGGTTAGGTTTGTAGGAACTCATTGGCCAACAGTGCAAACAACAGGAAATCCTATAGTGTAGGGCATGGAGCAAAGGGCACAGGGTCCTATTGCTATGAATTCAGTATGAATTGGGGTATAATTCTTGGCCAAGTCACTCTTCTGATAACTGAGAGTAACACATCTCCTTGGGTTGTTCTAAAAAGCCCAACAGATGTAGTTTAAGTCCCTACATAGTTTCATTTAAAGCATACAAAATGAACAGTAGGTATGCTGAAGATCTTCCAAAGAAGATGCAGAGAGCTCGAGGCAACTTAGGGTGGAGAAGAATGAAGTCAGGATGGGAAGGCGAGGGGTCTCAGAAGGACCCAGGGAGGACATACAAGTAAGAGTATGCCAGCTCCCCTTCTCCCCAAGGAGTAAATGGGCACTGGATATTTTGGATGCCTTCCCCCACCTACACCCACACGAGCCTTCACACCACACACCTGAGCCGACTCTTGTTCCTAGCCACGCGGGTGAGCGTGTAGCGATTGATGGTGTAGAAGTAATCATGGTATGGCACGTCGTGGGTGAGGACTTCAGCATCTATCACGTAGCATTCACTCTCCTGACTCGCTTTGTACATGGTCTGTGGGGAGGGAAGCACCATTGACCAAAACTGAGGAGAAGCCAGGTGGGAAACTGCACCTTTCCCCATGTCTCCACCCCTGGAGTCCCGGATGGAAAGTGTGAATATCACTTGACTTGGCAGCCTCGGAGCTAGCTGGATGCTGCTGCCTCCAGACTAAACCGAGCCTGGATGCAGAGGCACCTCCCAAGTCCAGCTTTCATCCCTCGGGATGTGACAGCACTTCCAAGTACACTCTCAGTTGGTTCTTTCCTCCCCTGCTCACCTGTGTCTCCCTGACAGTGGCGGTTTTGGGAGCCAGGGGATTGGTAAGGGTAATGGTGTAGAGGATCACACGGCTCTGGTTTCCATTCTCCTCCTTTTTCCATGGGTGGAAGATGATATCTGAGGGTAGAGAAGAGCCCTAGGATGAGGGGGTGGGGAACAGCACAATTCCACTCGCCTAAATCTCCCCTCCAATGAACTCCTTGCCCTGTGCTGAATACTGACAGCCACCCTCTCCCCTGGAAACCAATGGGAGTTTGAAAGCTAGGGGAGGTGGTGAAGAGGAGGTGGAGTTGGGCAGACAGGGGCCCATTGTGGCATTGCCGAAATTCTACAAAGAGCTCCAGAATGCTGATTGTTTCAAGGCTGGGACAGGAGGTCTGCAGGGGTGCAGGCAACATTGGAGTCACTGTGGCAAGGGTATCAGATCCCCAGGGAGTGTGGCCAGCCCATGACCTCCAGGTGCCTCTCCTTGCAGAGGTTGCCCTTGTTGCCTAGAGCTTTTGCTCAGAGGGGATGATTGGCATCTCTGAGAGGCAATATTACATCTGTGCTGTGGGAAAAACTAAGTGAGAGAGTGAGAACAGAAGCAGAGACCCCAGGGTACCAGATATGGATCCTCACTGAGCCCTTCTAGGCTAATTTCTACATGCTGACAAGTAACAGCCTGGGGTTCAGATTCCTAACACCCCTAATATGAGGGACCCCAAGGCCCACACATGGCCCAGCTGCGGACTAAATGAGCCAATGTGATACACCCAGCAGAGTAGGTGTCTCCCGAACAGCAGAACGGCTGTCCTATAGTAGATACAGAGCTCTGTGGGGACAAAGAGCTGGCAGGCCCTGCTCACTAGGAAATCTTTGGAGTCTGGTGGACAGTGGGCATATGAAAACCTGCAATACTAGTGACAGAGAGAGCCAGAGTATCCTAAAGGACCTCTGGCAGCACATAAGGCCAGAAAGAGGAGCATGTAACAGTGGGGAAAGAACAGTACATGGAAAGAGGTAGGCAAGAAGGAGGAGGAGAGAAAGAAGTACGATGGAGAAAAACATGGACATTCAGGGAAGGGCCAGCCCCAGGGTCAGACCAGAGAAGCGCCGCTGCTCCATGAAGTCCCGGAGGAAGGGTGAGTTGGTGAACAGCAGGTCATAGAGTTTGTCCACGCTGAAGTTGAAGACCTCGTTCACATACTGTCTTCCACTCAAGTCCTCATAGAAGGCCTGGACTTCTCCTGTGCACAAGAGTGGATGAAGTAGACAGTGACTGAGGAGGACAGAAAGCTGTGGTGACATCCTGCTGATATCTCCGCAGCTAATGTGGGCACTACCACCAAGGGAAGGGTGGCTAGGATCATGAGCTCGCTGTCAGTGCTTTTGCCAGCATCACTTCCCTTCTCTGGGACCTCGGCTGCCTGGTCTGGGGCATGCTCTGTGATTCAGAACCAGATTCTGACTCAAGAACCAAGCCAGGAAGTTCCTTTCATGCTACATAATGGAGAGGTGAAGGGATGCTCCAGCCACGGATTCATACCTTCATCGTGGGTATCTGAAGAGTCACTGAGCTCGGTGGGGATATCCTCATTGTCATTGAAGTCCAGTGAAGGGGAGGTCACTGGCGCAATGATCTCAATCTTCTCTCCTATGATGTTGTCAATGGCAAGCTCCTTCTCCAGGGACCCATCACCCTCCATCACCTCTTCCTCCAGCGGCAAACCATCAAACTGCAGCGGAGATCAAGAATCACCCACCAGGGTCCCTCTCTATGGATCAACTCTTCAAAAGGAGACCAGCAACCCAGCCTTGGAAGTCATCCCATTCCCAGCAGCATAGCTGCTCGGGAGCAGGCTGAGGTCAGGTGCTGAGACTGAGAGGGAACACAGAACCAAGCACTCACTGCCCTTTTCTTGCCATCCAAATGGCACACTGGTTGACGAGTGGCACTCCCATTCTAGGCCCTTTCTGGAGCTCTATTACTACCATGCTGCTATAATGCCAGTCTGCCTAGAAACAACCCACCTTTCCTCAGGATCTCAGAGGGCTTCATGGGCAAGTTTGGGGCTTAATTCTCTCATTGGCACCAGAAGGGAATCAATTCTATTTTAAAGCTAATCTCAGAAATAGAAAATGAAGGCTAGGCATCCATGATGTTTTCATTCTAAGGCTGGTTAGCCTGGTCACCAGATGTGAAATAAAAGGTTCCCTCTTCTGAGAGTCCTTTCCCAAAGAACCCAGCCCCTTCTTGCTGACATATGCTCTAATCCTCCAGCAAAGTTCTGGCTTCTTTGCAACAGTGTTCCAAAGGAGAAAGGTCCTCACAGACATTTATATAGTTTTCATAAACTCTAGCATAGTAGGAAAATAAACTGCAAAGGAACTCATCAACAAACATTCATGACATACATGAATAAGCAATTAACTGTTCTGTATTCATGTGTGATTTTGACTTTGGATCAAGGCAGGGAAGCGGGGTGAGGGGGTGGGGGGAAAAGTATCCAAAAAGAGAGGATGTCTGGAGTATTCCACCAAGAGCTACACTCTGAGATGACTTAGAATACTTTTTATCTTCTCATTTGTCAAACTAAATCATGTAAATAAGGTGCTGAGAATCTAGTTCTGGGCCTTTGGCATATACCATAGCACTAAGAGCTCATGAGTTCTAGGATGCTCCCTTTGTCATGGTAACCACACAGAACCCTTTCTACTTCCCTGCTCCTAGTGGGGCTCATGTGGGGTTAATTAAACTAGGAGACAATGGCCACTAATTAGGGTAGGGATTTACCCAGAGTTTATCGCCCATACCGAGACAGGTGCTTCACTGCTTCCCGTCGAGGTCAGTGTGCTGTTGGTGATGGACTTCTTGGGCAGCTGTGGGCTGGCATCAGGCTTGGTCTCTATGCTGCTTTTGGATGAGCTGTCATTCACTTCATTCTCTTCTACAGGGATCTCTTCACAGTAGCTGGAGAAGACCACCACCTCCATGAGCTTGGGTTAGTTCTTGTGGAGGAAGTCATCAGCTAGTCTAAGAACTTAGGCCTGTCTATTAATCTGAAACTATGTGCTTTCCTGCTTCTTCTCTGTGTATGTGGTTTTGTGCCATCCAAAAAGCTACCCCCTCATTGCTCTTCTAAAACCTCATTCCCTTCTTATTCTACCTCTCCCTATCCTGAAACTTCTATCTGAAAACTCACCTTTTCTAGACCCCCCCCCTCCTTAGATGTATGTCTACCTAAACAAAAGCACATCTCATCTTACTCTTTTCTCTTGCATCCCATCCCATGCCAACCATCTGAATCTAACATCTGGGCTCTGAGCACATATTTCCTTTCTCAAACATCAACTCCCAAGACTGGACTCTGAATCCAGTACTCCCTTAGTAGTACTGCCCAAATCATAGATCATAACGAACAAACTTCTCTTTATTGTACATCCGGGATGAAAGTAGGTGTTGTTCAAGAGACACTGCAAGAGCGCCACTGTCATTAACCTCACGGTCGTTGCTGGCATTAACATCTGACTTGTACTTAGTGGCTTCTGGATATATTAAAGCTCCCAATAAATCATTATGTACATTTTAGACATCAGAAAACAGGGTTTGACAGAGCTAACAAGAAAGCAATATTAATGCTGTTTCAAACCAAGGTCTAAGTACCCTCAATGCTCTTTCCTTGTTTTTTACTAGCTTCTCACAACAACATTTAGTCTCCATACACCTAACTGATGTCAGTCACTCACTCTCCCCATCTTTCTTTTCTTTTTTTCTAAAGATTTATTTATTTATTATGTATACAGAATTCTGTCTGCATGTATGTCTACACACCAGAAGAGGGCATCAGATCTCAATATAGATGGTTGTGAGCCACCATGTGGTTGCTGGGAAGTGAACTCAGGACCTCTGTAAGAACACTTAACCTCTGAGCCATCTCTTCAGACTCTCTCCCCATCTTTCTAACCTACCTGCAGCATGTCATACAGTGAGAGTCCCCATCCTTAACTTCCTGAGCTTAGCTTCTAGTGTGAAACTCTCCTTCCTTTTTGGATGTTCTTTCTCTGCTTCCCTCTCTTGCTGAAAGCTTCCAAGACTAGTCCTTGAATGTCCTTCATGCTTGCTCATTTGGAGGACTGAGCTAGCCTCATGGTTATCCACAAGTGACTCTCAGCTCTCAGCTTTATAGCCCTGGCCCAAACTTCCTCACCAGCCCAACAGCCAACCTCAGAAGCTGACTTGATCTGTCCCCCTGGCTAGTAGGCATCCCCTTTGCCTAAAACCAACCTTCTCATCTCAAAATCTTCTGCCAACAATATTTCCCATCTCATGTTTGGAACCACTCCATTCGTCCAAAGTGTTACACCAACAAATTTTAAATCAAACCTGGGATTTGTTTCTGAGCCATAAGCAAGTCCTTCAAAATATTTTGAGGAGCTAATTACTGCCAAACCTACTACAACCACCACCACTGTCTGTCCTCTCAATTATCATCTAGCAACCTTTCAACAGGTCCCCCTTGTTCTCCAGCTGAGTGTCTTTCCAATACAGAAGCCATACTGGTACTGTTTAAATGTTAACTCAGAACTAATCAATGGTCTATTGCAAACCTGCCCATTCCTTTCTGCCAAGTGTCACACTGGCCAAAAGACTACTACTAGTCCCTGCTCTCTTCACCTCCTGGCTTCATCTCTGACTACTTCAGTAGCCACAAAGCCCTGTTACTGTTCCCTCTGCCTGAAACACTAGTTTCCTCCATTGTTTCCTGTAGGGTGATACGAAGACACCATTTTCCAAATGATGTCTTCATTGCCATTTTGATCCCCATATCCTCCAGGAAGCTCACCCAAGGCCACACTCACCCCATTGTGTTGAAGTCATCGTCTGGAGGCACATAGTCCTCATCATCACTGGTTAGACCCAGCTCATTCCCATAGCACTGGTGGACAAAGTGCCAGAGCTCCTTGGGGCATAGGGGCTGCAAGAGATAAGAGCAGTGACCCTGATCTTCCTTCCCTCAGGCCCTGCCATTCAGCACAGAAGCACTAAGCCAGGCTGGCCCCTTTAGGGGGAAAAGAAACCAAAAGTCTCTCTTCCCAACTGAATAGAGAGGACATCTCTATGACAACACCATCCACCTCAGATGTCCCTGTCAGATGCCAGTCTCCTGACTGAAAATGTAGATTCCAACAAAACCAAGGATGTGGACCACTCTTGCCTGTCCCTTCAATGGAGCTTTGCAGAATGGGATTAACAGACCTTCTGAAGATGGGACGCAGCCCAATCCTGCACTCATATTAATCTAGGGCCACAGTTATCTCTGAACACCCACAGGTGCACTGATTCAGTCTTGTAACACCCCAGCCCTCTCCTGACATCCTGAATATTTCCTTCTTCATTCTGAAGGGCAATCAATTTGTGAACAATCCTGTGTCCAGTTTTCAGTGTTTGCCTTTTGCGGAGGCATCTATTTGTCCTCTTTAAATAATACTGTCCTAAGAAAAGCTAGTTTTCATATGGTACAGTTTCCAGAGAGAAGCAAGGGAAAGGAACTATGAAACAAAGTCAAAGAAACTAAGATCATGGGTGAAAGCCATTATTGAGTCATAGACTAGAATAAAAGGGAGGAAAGCAGTAGTGACAAGTATGTGGAAAAAGAGGGTGAGAGCATAAGAGAAAAAGATGCAGCCAATAACTAAAAATAAATAAATAATTATGAATTCAAGAATCCTGACACCTGACTTTCTAAATAATATGAGAGGCCTCCACACTTTGAAGGAATGGTTCAGGCATCTGGAAAAATAGCTTAAGTCAACTTTCCAGTTTTCTGACTTTGTAGAACCATTTAGAATGACAGTTGGGTCCTGCTTCTCTACCAGCAGGTGTTGAGTGCTAGCTTTCAGTGATGACTCCTTCATCTCTTATCTAGAACTCCCTTCATATCTCTAGCCTATGTGGACGCCCTTCTCCCTGCCTGGGGCACACCTGTTTTCTGCCAAACTCTGTCCTAGCCTGCTTTACCATTCACCTTCCCTGTATCGCTTTCCCTGACCAATTCTGCCTGGCTCAATTAGAGTTCACATAGTCAGGACAAGCATGGTTAGCAGACCCTCATTAAATAAAAGTCATTAATAAGAGTCATTTTGGAAGACAGATGTGAATGGCTCTGTGTCCTATTCAGAAATGACAACAGATGTGAACTGAAAGAAAAAATCAAACCTGCAAGTAATTATTCAGACCTGTTATCACTCTACCATTATTGAGGCCTAATAAGGTCAGGAGATCAGAGCTCAAAAAGCTACCAAAATTTATACCAGGGCTCTAGAGGTTCAAATTAGAAGAAACTGTAGATAAAAAAAAAAAAATGATTTAGTTGGTTTTCTCCAGAGAGTAATTAGCTCAGACTAGAGTCAAGGCACATACATACATATATTTAATTCATTCATGTCAGTCAAATGGTAACATAGTTGGAGGTACATATTATTTATATAGGGATTGATTCCCCCTTATGTATCTTTCTCTGGCCAACATCTGACTGCTTCAAAATGGGAACTCTCTATGGACATGGGCTGTAATATTCCATCGGTGTCTCCTTCTAACCTCACTCAAACACACCAGTCATCAGTTGGTGGCTATCTTAACTGAATTTTCTTTGTTGGTGGTTCTCTAGGACCTAATGTCTTGTTGGCCAGGGTAGAACCTCCCAGGGATAGCAAGTTCTTAGACTTAGAAACAGCTTACAGGTATGCAACAATCTCCCCTTCACTAGCTTGACAAGTTTCCTCTCTCAAGCCTAGGTACCCTAAAACTGGATGCCAGGCAACTTGAGATAGTCTCTAGACCCTGATGGTTGCTGAAATGAATATTAGTGGCTAATCCTATACCTTCATGGGCTGTTCATCCTGACTGCCCCAGCTGATCCCAGGAGATCACAGTAAAGGCTCATGCCCATTCTTCTGCCCACTCAGCCTCCTGACCAGCTCCAGTGCTTTTCTGTGTGGCCTGGCATGATCTGCCAAGGCATACATAATTTCTGGAGTACCTGTGGATAGGAAACCTGCTTCCCTCACAACAGTCATGTCTCTGGCTACCTACTCCATTCTACTTGGCTAACCCAAGTCCTGGAGCAGTAAAAAACAGTAGTACTAAAGTGCCTGAAGTTGCCAGACAGTGGTGGCAGACAGAGTTGCCAGCACTCGGGAGGCAGAGGCAGGCAGATCTCTGTGAGTTCTAGACCAGCCTGGTCTTCAAGAGCTAGTTCCAGGACAGCCTCCAAAGCCACAGAGAAACCTGTCTCAAGAAACTCAAAACTAAACTAAACTAAAATAAAATAAGATGTCATAGGTGCCTTACTTCTGGCAGTGCTGGGACATTCTCAGAAAAACAAAAACAAAACAAAAGATGTCATAGGTGCCTTACTTCTGGCAGTGCTGGGACATTCTCAGAAAAAAAAAAAAAAACAAAAAAACAAAAAACTGACCCTGTTCAGGACTCAAGTCAAGATTACTTACTAGTGGGAGATTCCCAGGAACATAGGCTCCTTAAGAGCCAGCCATACTATACTTCCTAACTGGGACAGTATCCAAGTAACAAGAACACTGTGGGTGGGTGGCTTCCCCAGGTTGAAGGACAGAGCCAATCCCTATATATCTATAAATCTATCATCTGTCTCTGTCTATCCATCCACTGACAGAGGAACTTTATGTCCACTTCCCCTTTAGTACTTACCTTTTCAAGGAGAGCATTCTGCCAGAGTCGGAACATCATCATGTATGTCCTATCCCGGGCCCCGAATGAAGTAAAAAAGTGCTAGATTGGAGCAGAAGATGCAGAGAAACATCTGTGAAAACTTATAGTGAATGGAAACACGGTTCTTCTTTCTTTTATCCAAAATACTCAGTCCCAAATGCTACCGACTGTCACTTATCCAAAATTGTCAGCACACTGGGGACCTGAAATCTCTAAATCCCCACTGTAACCAAGCCCTTCAGTATTTTATCCAGACTCTCCTCTGTGTTTTTTACCCCAGTTATAACCTGTGTCTTCAAAAATATAAATGTCCTTTGCACACCAACTGGAACTAGGCAAGAGGTGAGCTGGGATACAGCATAAATAGAATGAGACAAGCCTACTGACCCACCAACCTTCAACTAAATCTAAATATGCATATGAAGGCTATCCAACATAGTCTATAGTCACAAGACTCAAATCAGGTGTTCTTCTAGCTCAAAGTTCCAAGTTCTACATTTTACCCTAACCCCTTGCTCAGTCTTCAACCACCCTGCTCACCCAGGTAGTATTTTCTACAACTTGTACCGTGCTTACTGCCCGCCACTCTCAAACCCATTAGTCCAAAGACTAAGGTGACTTAAGGGTGGCAATATAGAAGTGGAGAGACGGGGAGTGGGATATGGGGTAGGGTGCATGGGCAGAAAGGTCAGAACTTGACAACACTCACCTTTTCTGAATCAGTACAGACTTGTATGGCATTGGGAATGAGGCGAGCTGTTTTCTCCTTAGTCATGGAGCAGATATCTTTCAAACGGACTGTCAGCTGGCATCCCCATGGTGACAGAGTGGCAAGCAAAAGAGGGCATTAGTACAATAAGGCAAAGAGTGTTCATTTGGCACTAGTAGTTGCCAGACAAAATCAAAATCGCAGTTGTCATACCTCTGGCCCCAGAAGGGACCAATTTAGAGATCATACAGTTTACACCTTATGCCACAGAGGTCATGTATGAAGGAACAACTGGGTCTTATCTCCAGTCATGGGTACCTAGATTCTACAGCCTGGTACATGAGCAGAGGACCTGCTATTTTTGCTACTTACAAAATCATCTAAGTAGCCTTTCTCCATCACAACTGAAAAAAATGCAGAACTCAGAAAGTGTGCAAGTCAGTTCTTCTGAGCCCTTCAGTCAATGTCCTTTCTACTTTGCTGCCTCTCTCTGCTATAACATACCAGATAGAGTTATCTGCATTTGCCAAAGGAAAAAAAATTTAGACTGTCCTCCACACCCAAAAGATGGGAAAGATGTGCATGGCAGAAGAGATGCCATGGCTGGGACTCAGAATTGGGTGTCCTCCAATGCTCAGGCACGGGTTTGTGATAACAATATAAAGGCTGAGCTGGAGGTGGCAATGCACACCGTTAGTCCCAGCACTTGGGAGGCAGAGGCAGGTGGATTTCTGAGTTCAAGGCAGGCCAAGGTGACAGTCTGGGAGCTAGGAGGTAGGGGTAGGGACACACACTATAAAGGCTTGGGAAGAACACAAAGTCAGTAAATGAAGAAAATGGAAGCAGCTTGCTCAGTCATGGCCAAGATGATACCCAAAGGGACAAATCTGGGTGTTTTCTTTTCTTTTTGCAAAGCTGGGGACCAAGCCCAGAGAAGCCTGTATATGCTGGGTAAGAAGTGTGCATACTACCACTGAGATACAATGCATGCCTCCCCCACCATTCCCCACCAACCCAAGTTCTTTACCAGAGTTTCCCATCGGAAGATGTTGCTGTAGAAGCAGATCCAGTTTTCTGAGAGGTAGAGTCGGCCCTGAAGAAGAATGTCTCTTTGGAGTGCACATGAGTAATCTGTGTAGGAAACAGAATATGGAAGCTCAGAGGCAGGGGACATTTTCAGCAAACCAGTGTACCGTGAGCATGCCACCATCCCTCCAGCATTGGGGGAGACCAGCCATATGCTGTTGACTAGGTGTGCGAGCCACTTTGATCTATCAGCCAGGGAAGTCACTGACATCTCATGATGAGAACACAGAGGAGATAGAGTATAATACTGCCTGGTGGCAGGATAATGAATGAGTATGATAGCCAATGACAGACTGGGTTTAAAACAATTAAAAAGGCCAATGCTGCTCAATTAGCTTTCACCCTCTTACTACCATGGCAGCAATTGGCTCTATCGAGCAGCCATTTGCAGCAGGAAGTATGCTTCTTAATCTCTCCTGGGTAGGTTCTCAAGGATGCATGCCACAAGCATGGTGCTTGATCCTAAGATCTGGGACTTAAGATGTCGCCTGGTGCCAGCTCGACCCGATTGCTTGTGTTGGCTCTCAGCCTCTGGTCAGAGGCAGGCTGAGTACTCTCTCTGGAACTCCCAGACTTCCTTGTTGGCCCCCTCCCAGGTTACTAGCTCACCAACAATGAGGCGCTCCGTGTCTGGAAGTTGCTTAAAGAGCTTTCTGAAGTCTTCATTTCTCTGCTTATAAGTGGGGCTTAGCACCTGCAAGACAACAGCCAAGATTAGCATGGTGTGTCCACACGCTGCAGAATTAAAGAAGGATGCTGGGGTGGAGAGAGAGGGAATGCTTATATATTAGAAAGGCAGAGATAGGAAGCTCTCTTCCCATAGTCCCTGAGAGGCCTGGTTAAGAAAGGGGCCTGGATGTGGAGAAATAGCATAGAGGATCTGACCCTGAAAAACCCTCCATGCAGCACTGGTCAGTTAGAAATACAGTCCACATACATCCCAAGAAGAGAAAGCAAGGAAGGAAACCTTCAAGGGTCTTCCCAGGACCTAAGATGCCAGCTATCACCGTCCTGCTTCCGGACAGCTCTGCTTCGGAAGTAAAAAGGATCTGATGGCCATGCTAGCTCTCAGTGGGACTTTGAAGAGGGTTGGACACTGTGTACCTCTTGAAATTTGTTATGACTAACACAGTGAGCTAAAGACATGATGTTTTTTAAATCATAAAACATGGCACTAGGTGAAATTTAAAAATCCAGTAACAGAAAGAAAAGAAACGGGAAACACAAGTTGTGAGGTTAAAAGTACATCAGGCGCACAGGCATGGCACTTCCCTCCCTATTCGCACCAGATGATATACCAAACCAATGTACGATGAGGAAACCGAGGCAAGAGAAAAGCCCCATGCCCAAGGGCACCCAACTACTATATAGTGGCAGAGCCCAAGATGAGAGTCCATTCTCCATAAGCCACAGAAGGCAGGAGAGAACCAAGGACTTGTACAGCGTAGAGAAGCAGATCCTAAAAACTGCTGTGCATCCTGTACCTGCTCATTCCCACAGACTAACTTAGCAAATCCTCCTTGGAAATCCCACCAGCCAGGGCGCTAGTTAGGAACTCGGCCTTTTCAGAGCAGACAGTCTTAAAAGCTTTAAAAACAAATAAAGGGAAATAAAAAGGATGTGTGCCCATAGATGAAGGACACTCAAGGATGATACAAAGAGCATACAACTTGGGGAAAGCCATACATGGGGACACAGGCACATCTGCATCCCGCCCGGCCATGTGCTGACCTACTTACACACACACTAGGCTGCTGACCCTCTGCCAGAGACACAGGCCTGAGGGACACATTGTCCTGCTGGCAGTGACATGTGGTTCCTGGCCTCTTACCCTTTCACCAACATCCCTGGGAATCCACAGGCATACAGCTGGTAGGGGACAGACCCTTCGACTGTTCATGTTTCAACATTCTATGAAGTGAAGAGGCCCACATGGAAACAAAGTCTGGGAGAGATCACGTCTGAACCCAGTGCTGCCCACCTCTGCTGCAACCTAACACTGACTAGAGAAAGAGGAACAGAGAGAGAGAGAGAGAGAGGGACAACAAACTGTGTGAGTTCAGTTTGGGTCGATGCTCCAAGAGGGAGAAACCAGAGAAGAGCTGAGGAAAAGGAACTTCTCAATCTGTCTATAACATGAATTTCAAGCTTTTGTTCTTGACTTACTTACATGTGTCACATGAGAGGCCCAGTTACCTTCCCCCAAAGTATACTACCATCATCGTGTGATGTCAAACTTCCCAAATCACCTGTATGAGCTTGAACCAGGTTTCCACACTAGCAGAGGAGGCTATGCAGAAGCTTATCTATCTTACGATTTCTATGGCTAGAAAAGACTTCAGGCAGGCCGGCTGCGGCACACACCTTTAATCCCAGCAGCACTTGGGAGGCAGAGACAGGCGGATCTCTGAGTGTGAGGCCAGCCTGGATTACAGAGCTAGTTCCAGGACAGCCAGGGCTACACAGAGAAACCCTGTCTCGAAAACAAAACAAAACGAAATGAAACCCAAACGAAGACCTCAGATACAACAGTCCTCCAAGAATCACTAAATACAATGCAAATGCCCCGCCCCTTAGGACAGAACCCACGCACGGGACAAACCCATGGTTGATGACCTGACTGCTCTTCTAGTCCTCATTATATCTCACTTTCTAGACAACTGCAAGCACCCCACAGCGAGCACACGTCCACCACATACATCGCCTCACCTCACCGCGGGGTAGGTTTCATTACCCCACTCTACTTGTGGGAAATGAGGCAGAGGTTAAGCAGTTTGCCTGAGGAATGTGGAGACGCACTGGGAACGGAACATGAGTGTTATCCAACTGATAAAAAGAAAACCATGGGGTTTCCCTGCAACAGCACACTCATGGAAGGAGACACTTGCCTGCTTTGGGGCCCCCACTAGCTTCCCACTTCCCTGGGTGAGTCTTTACAAAGTTCCTGCATGAGGAGCAGACTACCAGGGGGCCCCCCAATCCACTTCAGGGGCAACTGAGTATCAGGCATCCAGTAACCTGATGCCTAGAGTCCTCCTAGTTCCAGTATTTCATCCTCTTCCCTAGACTTCTATCATCTGATGAGAGAGATCCAGGACCCACAGAGATGGTGGCACAGAAGACTAGGCACAATCTCCCAAAAGCAAGGAGGAAAAGACAATTAGCTGTAGGGAAGGATAAGGGAAAGCATCCTTACTCTGCACTTGTACCTAGCTGTCCTTATTTCACTGTCTGTGGATGCAGATGGTAGGCCAGTCTCTCTGTTCTAAAGTACAAAGACACACTGGATGGGAATACTTGGCTTTCCATCCCATGCCCCTCAATGCTGGAGAGCCTAGCCCCCTGCACCCACTCCCTATGTACTCGTAAAACATTCTCTTCCAAAGGTGAGGCAAGGCTCACCTCTGTAAAATGGCCAAAGAATTCTGGCTCAAGGGTTATCAAGTCTCAGGCTCTTTAGCCAGGCCAAGTGTGGCAGGAGAGAGGGCATAGAATAGTCACAGGGACACAGAGAATTCAGGTTACACACTCACGGCTGGGATTTTCTCAGATCCATGCCAGCAGTAGCATTCCGCACCAGCAGGTGCATCAGCAAGCCTCTTCAAGTACCACAGCAGAGACTGGCTGTCCAGTTCCAGCAGGAGGCTCCAGAGGACCCCAGACTCTGTCAGAGATTCCATCACCCCCAATAAATGTCCCAGGCAAGGGTCCCCAGGTCCTTATACTGAGTCTCAGGTGCCCTCAGAATGAAAACAGTGAGGCTTGCCTGGACTGAACACAAAGTGATCTTTGGCTTCTGCACAGAGGGTCTATAGAACCCTGGCTGGTGTCTTCTCCTCTCTTAGCGCTGTGCTCCCAGTGCAAACTCTCACAAATGAAAAGATATAATAAGCCCGGTTCTCAGAACCGGCTGGCTGGCCAGTGTCGCACAGCTGGACTCTACTTCATCCTCCCCTTGTCTTCAGTCTTTGGACAGCCCAGAGGGGGTGTGGTCAGGCAATACTCCCTGGTGGATGCAGCCACTCAAGAGTCCAGGTGAGGCCCGAAGACATAGATACAGCAGGCGCACAACACAGGCTGCCAGTTGCGGAAGGGCAGCCCCACGTGAACAGGCAAACTTTGCAGAGCAGGATAACCCACAGCTGGGTCCAGAGGTCTTTTTCCACCAGCTACTCACACTCAAGAGTGACTCACAAGTGCCTCTTCGGAAGCTCCAGAGAGGCCCATGATGGCCCAGATGGTAAGTTCAGATCTGCCCCACAGACTGGCCTGTTTAGTCAACTAGCCTGTTTAGTACTTTATATCCCCCATCAGACCAGGACATCGGTGACTCATGTCTCTCACCCAGGCAGAAGGGGTCACCACTTAGCTGCAGCATGGGGCGCTCTCATCCCCACCCCTGCACACACCCCTTTTGCCTCCAGAAGGCACTCCTTTCAGCTAGCCAGCAAATGACTTCTTTGTTAAGAGTCACCGGGGCCTGAGGGAGGGGAGGAGGGAGGGAGGGCTGGTGGGCGGGCAAGGCCAGAGCCCCGCACATGCTTCAAGTTACAGGATATGGGTGATGGGCCTGGCCAATGTCCTGCAGTAACCCCAGGCCTAGCCTGGCCTCAACCAGCAGATGTTTCCTGCAATGGAAAGTTGCTGGCCAGGGCTCTCAGTGGAGGAAGAGAAGGGGAGGTGCCCAGGGCATCACGGCTCTGGTGAAATCGGAAATTTGAGACTGAATAGAGCAGGGGTTTCTTGAGAGACAGCTCTCCTCTAAGGAACCCCCGTCTATTCAGCAGCTTCTCTGATGCAATAACAGCAAACATGAGATTCTCCAAATGGACTGATCACAAAGAAGTCTAACAGATAGCCTGGAGAAGATGAGGCCAGCCTGAGGTGCTTTCCTGAGGACTAGGCCCCACCTTCCTTTCATGGAGGCATAGGATCAAAGCCAAGCAGACTCCCAGACAAGCTGCTCAGACCTTGAGGGCAAAATAGCAATAGTAAGAGCAGAGCTTCTAGACCCTGGTGAGAAGGAGGGAGACAAGTCAAAGAAAGAGATGGCAGCCAGTCCCTGGGGCAGAAAGGGCTCTAAAGTGGTTCTCATCCTGTGGGCCATGACCCCTTTGGGGGTTAAATGACCCTTTCACAGGGGCTGAATGTCACATATTTATTTACTGGAAGACTCATAACAGCAGCAAAGTAACAGTTACAAAGAAGCAATGAAAATAATTTTACAGTTGGGAGTCATCACAACATGAGGAACTGTATTAAAGGGTCCCTGCATTAGGAAGGTTGAGAACCACTGCCCTAGACAGAGAGGTACAAACAGGGAGTAAACAGCTGGGAATAGGAAGGCGTGGACTCCCGCAAGATCCTAGAAATAAGTGAAGCAGCTCCCTTGCTCTCAGGCTTGGGCTGCTGCATCATGGGTAAAGTTCCTTTGTCTTATAAACCTTAGTAACTTCTTAGGCTGGAACCTTAGCATATTTAAAAATGACTCCAGTGGATCTGCAAAGATGACACCAGTTAACAATCTAGGCAACAGAGGAGAGGCTACCTTAAATGCCCTCCCCTGATAACGAGATTGATGACTGAATTATATGCCACCGGATAGCCCTCATCCAGCACCTGGTGAAAGCAGAAGCAGACACCCACAACTAATCACTGAACTGAACTGGAATCCAGTTGCAGAGAAGGATGAGT